TACATATGTAAAAGACCTTTAATTCCATCACAGCAAAATTTAAATCTATAGATCATTAAAAATAATAAAATTTCATTCTGTAGTTTTGCTTTAAAACCATTAACAACTAAAAGTGAATTATATAATTGCACTGGAGGGAGAAAAGTAGACCTGAGTGAACAAACCACTCTCACCATACTGATTTTCTTCTTGGTAATCGTTACTTTGACCCCCAGATAAGCCTATTCTTATAGGGAGACACATGGGATCTAAATTCTGGTTTTTATTCTCTGATAAGAGTTGAATATTAACACCGATGTTCAAATGATGGGGTGTGTGAAAGTGAACAAACATTCATCTTGCAGCTCTTTCTATGTGTGCAGAAATAAAGGTCACAAAGATACAGTAACTTAACTGGGCAGCAGTGGTACACACCTTTTAATCCCAGCACTTAGGAGGAGAGGTAGTCAGATCTCTGTGAGTTTGAGGTCAGCCTGGTCTACAGAGTGAGTTCCAGGATAGCCAAGGCTACACAAAGAAACACTGTCTTGAAAAACCAACCAACTAAACAAAGATACAATAACTTAGCAGTGACTGGATTGTTCAAGATGTAAGTTAGGCAGCCAGCATGGGCACCCTGTCATCCCAACATGGAAGAATTCTGAGCTCAAGCAGCGTATGGGTTACACACATGGAGACCCTGCCCCCCAAAAACAGCCCCATCTCCCCAAATAAAAGCAAACCACCCAAAAGGTTGGAAATGTCTCAGTGGCCATGCACAGTCTTGGAATCAATCCCAGTGTGTGGAGGGTGTGATTCAAAAACCTCAAGCCAAGTGTTGATAAATGTGAACGGAAGTTAGCAGCCTCCTTTTCATAGTAACTCTGTACCCCCCAACAACTTCTTGGCAATTGCACTAACAGATAAGCACCACTTCCCCAATCTGAATACTGAAGGAGGCATCAAACGTAAACGTTAACCAGAACCAGAATGCAAGGCTTGAGGAAGATCAAGTATGAACATTAGCAAATGAAAAAATGTCAAGACACTAACATTGGGGTAAGTATAAATGGCACACTTCTATTTAAACCTTCCAATAGCATAATGGCATAAAATTAAATTTATAAGAGTTTTGGTTCATAATGTTGTGTATTATTGTGGCAGACTTTTTTCAAAGCTGACCTGCACCATTTCTCAGTCATTCCTAAGTGAAGAAACAAGGACCCTCCCTGTTCCTCGAGTGCAGGCTAGACGTGCTGACTGCTGGTCCTGTTCTCTGCTAAACCCAGAGCTGTCCTGCTGAAGAGACAGACAGGCTACTCTCAGCTCCCTGGACACGCACATGCTTTTGGGGCCACAGGGTATTTATTCCCCCTATAGCCAGTATTCTAGCTCAAACAAATGAGCCCGTATCATGTGAAGAACTGTCCAGCCAAGCCACAGAGTCCTAAGGAAGAATAAGCCAGTCTTACAGAGCAAGACAGGGACTCCAATGTCCGTCTGTCGTATTTCAGCGGCCACTGCAACCCATTTTCGGGATATGTTTCCTACAGATTACCTGATGCTCTACAACTGTGCCCAGAAACCTGAGCACTACCATGGTGTAGTTCCTCTGCTCCAACAGTGTGGTATGTCCACTGAAAAGGACAATCAACGCTAAGATACACCACCACAACCACTGTACTTGGCGTGACCAAGTCTACACTTTAGCCATGCATCAAAGGAGAAAGGGAAGGGATAACAGAAACCTCCAATGGGGAAGACCACCTATGTGTAAAGCTCATCTGGGGGTGCAAGCCTATAATCACAGCACCCAAGCCTAGGCATCCCACCCCAGAAGACCAGTTAAATTCCTATGAGGAAAACCCTGTATATAAGCAGACTAGTGGAGAGTGAGTTCTCCTCCTCTACGATTCAAAAAGAAAACTTGGGGTTTTTGAAGAGGAGACTAAAAACCAACATACAGTCTTTTTCAAATCTCAACTCTAGATGTACTGCCTGAGGTTAACACAAGGGGCAAGCAACTACCAAACTGACCAAAAGCAATGAAATCTACTCAAGGAAGCCACAACAAAGACTCCACTGTAGCAGACAGAGCAGCAAACAGGGAAGGGTGAACGCACACATGAGCATGCACTGACAAATTCTGGGGAACACACAATGAGATTCCCTAACAATGTACATGGAAAGTGAGGAGAACCTAGTTTACAAGGAGGCTAGTGTCACACACAAGGTCTACGGGGAAGGACACCACAGAAGACTATTATCTGAAACTCGTGCTCCAAGCGTCAACACCCTTTGCACTCCTTAAAAAATTGTTGGAACACAAGATTACAGCATTGAATACATTCTCCAGAGTTCTCATTTATCAGTGTAACAAACACTGTGTTCCTTGAATTTTCAATGTCTACCAAACACCCATTTGACTCACTACAGCCTATCTCAAGTTCTCTGAAATAAGAGGAGGAGCCCATGCACGACAGCAGCTCACACCTGCCTTTCTGGACACAACCAGAGGTTTTTCAATCAAACCACCAATAGCCAAAAACATTTGAAAAAGTCATAATCTACAAAAGTCACCAACATGTACTGAGCCTAGGAAGAGACACCTGTGTTTCTCCCTATTCTACTTCCAAGGATGATATAATCTCTTATTACTACTACTAACCCTGTGAGTGCAGAACAGTGAAGGACACAGTCCCTTCTTGCCTTGCTTTCTGATAAATAAGGGAACTTAGCTATTTTCTCAGACAATAAATGCTAAAGTCAAAATAGCATCAAGGCTGGAGGCAGCTGAACTCCACATTTACAATCACAGGTTGCTTCCAAAGGACTCAGGTTCAATTCCCAGCACCTACATGGTAACTTCTAAAGTATTTGTAACTTGAGTTGAAAGGGATTTTTCTGCTCTCCAAGGACACTGGGTATGTACATGGTGCACAAGCACGCATACAGACAACACCCCCCCACACCCCCCCACACACTGTCATCGAAACAATCATGACAGCACCGGACCACACTGTAGAAATGACTAACAAGTGCCTGCATACCTATCTCTTAGAACTGTTCAAGTATCATGCCTTAGACTGTACATTGTAAAATCCAGCAACTGTTTTTTGCTGTCTGCCCTACCTCAAAACAAGAGGAAATTCTTATTTGTGCTAAAATACTTCAACACTACATTCTTCCTAAAGGTAACTCTTACAGTGTTCAAATTTTACCCACATCGTGTCTACTTCTAGAGATCTTGATTTAAGGAGAACAAGTGTCCTTTCTGTGGCAGCCAGGATGGACAACTTTACACGGTAGAATGGTACACACACCAAGAAGACTGGCAGAAAATAAACGGGAGACACAGAAAATGGCAGCTTCCCACTCTCAACTGTGTTTCTCAAAGTCTGACA